TTTAAATAAAAATAAAATAATTTATTACATGGAACCTTAAAGTGGTCTGTTTTTATTTAAATTATTTGCTCTGGATTTACATTGAGCTCTCTGGATTTTATCCTCCTTAAGTTTACCCATACGGATTACCTAGTTTTTCATAAACTATATATATATATATATATATATATTACAGACATTTTTATGTTTAACGTTCTTTTTATAGATACAAGTATTAAGTTTTAACATTTACCGGCCTGAATGTCCGAAAAATTTTCATAGAAAAAAAGGACGAATATTTTCATAGAAAATATTCGGACATTCAGGCCGGTAAATGTTATTTAATACTGTATATTATAAACAAACATTTACTTAAATACTTGTATCTATAAAAAGAACGTTAAACATAAAAATTTCTTTAATAAATAAATTGTCGGACTTTGTCCATTTCTTAATATATATATATATATATATATATATATATATATATATAATGTAATATTTATTATGTATTAACCGAGTTAATTACATACACTTATGGTCTACTTTCCCATGGGAAATGTATGAGTACATCTCTTTATCTTCTCTTAACTATGGTAGGGAAAACTAGGCAGTTTAGCGTTGGTTGCAACGAATCAAGAGGAAGGGCTGATTTCAAACCCAAGTCGGATCATTTGAAGAACTTGCGGCAGACTATGCATACTAGTTCCCTGAATTTGTTCCTTCTAAAAAGTATGATTTCTTTTACTCAATCTTTCACCCCTATAATTAAGTCATTAGTGCAAGTAGCTTGGCTGTGAAGTTCACAGAGCCATCCTTTTAAACACGTATACTGACAAAGCATCCTTATATAGGGTGCGAGGGATAAATTGTCGTCTAGATTACGAAAAATGAAAATAACATTGACATCTCATTTTAACAGATATATTTACACAAAATTGCACAAAAAATATTTTAAAATCGTTAAGGAATAAATTCATTCAATAAAATCGCCATTGGCATCAAACACGGCTTCCAGGCGACTTCGGAATCTCTTACATCTCTTCTAGGCTGTTTCCTTGTTTAAGTTGGTTGATGGTGCCATAATCATTCCCTTCAGGTCATCTTTGGTGTTATAAGGAGATTTTTTGGTCTCTAGCTCAACTGCGCCCCACACATAATAATCAAGGAGGTTACAGTCTGAGGAGTTAGATGCCCAGATGTATGTGGTGATGTGGTCGCAGAAATTGTCTGACTGCCATAACTGCTTGTGTGGCATAGTGCAGAATCCTGTTGCTAAACATAAGGTCTACCAGAAGCCACCCTCTTGACCCGGGGTAACACTACATCCTGCTGGCACTTGATGTAGTACACTCTGTTGCGTTTGAGACACTTTAAAAACAAATTCGGTAGGTTTTTTTTTGTTATCAGCACGATCAGGGTGAGCTTTCCGAGCCTAAATACAATCGTAATCACCATTAGACTCATCTATCTGATTCCAAATCCTCTGTACAGTCCTAAGATTGACGCTCAAATACGTTGAAATATTCGTATTGGAGCGCGAATTCAACGCAGTACAGCATTCCGTTTCTAAATTTCTGGCGGAGTGAATTGTGTCATATTGCACTTTTTCTCACAGACGGTGCCCAACTGACCCAACAAAATTAAAAACAATCAGCACGCCTGCACGAAATTAAGAATATAAAATGGCGACATTTTACCCATCGCATCATAATATATATATATATATATATATATATATATATATATATAAACACACACACACACACACATATATATATATATGTATGGTGTCGGTAATAATACTTCCATGATGTTCGCTTTCCTTTTTGTTCGAAGTAGCGCCATCAGAATGGTTAGACTACACTTAAGAGCCATACTGAGCGGCAATACATTTCCACAAACACAACACAAACGAGAGTGAATACACAATTCAAAATGGCGTACAGCAAGGAATTGATTCACGTCGACTCATGTATGAGCCAAACGGCATCAGTCGAAATATGATTATTGCAGATTGCGTCGTAACTACGAATCGCCGTAGGTTTGGACTGTCGTAACCCGGGTACTGTATATATATATTACTTTACTATAAGTTATTACATTCGAACATGCATATTTTCGCTACAAAATTGCATTAATTTTTCGATGCATCTCATCAGGCGGTGTTAATATTAATATCGTCTGATGAGATGCTATGTTGGATCGAAACAGTAATGCATTTTTGTAGCGGAAATATGCACTTTCGAATGTAGTAACTTATAATAAAGAATTTTAGATCTACTTCTGTATTGGGCCCTTTTTAAATTAATGTTATGAACGTTTGAATTTATATTTCATTCGTTCTTATTACATTTGCATATCTATCTATCTATCTATCTATCTATATAATAATAATAATAATAATAATAAAAATAATAATAATAATAATAATCTTATAAATATAAGTAAGTATACTCGTCCGGAAAAACCTTAGGTGTATTGGCTTGTAAATAAACAATCCAATACCCAAGCGAAAAAAAGGAATAAAAACAAGAAAAAACTAAGAACATGTAATTCAGGCGAAAACAATCAACCAGAATTCAAGCTCAGAGTCCAAAAAAATAAATAAATAAAATACCTCTGACACGAGTAAAATAAAAATAACTAAGCAAAGTGCTCAATACGCAAAGTAGAGCAAATCAAACTCTGAACCTAAAGAGCCAGGCAAAACCTACCTGGGTTTCGCTTACGTGGATCGTGAGGTACGCTGGCCAGCGTACCTTGACGATCCGCGTAGGTGAAACCTAGGTAGGTTTGCTCTGGCTTCTTTAGGTATATATATATATATATATATATATATATATATATATATATATATATATTACGTTCAACTGTTATGTTAAGTCTAAATTTTATTCGATCGCATTATTTCAATGTCCAAATAAGATTTTTATATCAGGATCGAAATTGTGGATAATCTGTGCGAAGTTCATTTTTTCTGTTGTTTCTGCCGTCATGTTCGTCTCACTCATTAACAAGATCATCAATAACGAACTGGAACAAACTCAGCCAGAGAATTCAAAAGGACAGGTTTCGTTTATTCTTAATCAACGAAACTTCATGACTAAAGTGGTCAAGGCAACGTTCTACTCTATTTCCAATTCGGCTATGAGCACAGACGTGATCGAAGATTATGTCAACTCAGAATGCTCTAACAAAACACAGAACCTGTAAAAAAATACAAAAAGATTTCATGGGAAGATATTAATGTCTTTTGAAAAAACCGAGCGTTTGATCAACGATGAAAGAGGTTGCAGACAAGAACGAGGCTTATACTTAATATCAAAAAGAGGCTGATGAAGTTTCCGGAACTCATAATGAGGAAGGAAGATCTGGAAAATCTGATACACACGGGTCGAATAGAGGAAAAGAGAGACAAGGGAAAATAACGCGTGACATGGAGGACTTAAGCATGTGGATGACAGAACGTGGTTTGAGGGAGGAAGCAGAAAGAAGGAACTTGTTGAGAGCTGCAAGGGATAGGAGGGGGTGGAGAGCCATGATTGCCTACGTCCTGAAAGGACATGGCACATAAAAAGAAAGAAAGAAAATCACCTTTGTGGATCATAAAAATTAAAAGTAAACGTCATAACATCTTGTATTTGACTTTTACCCTTAAAGTTACTGATTTCTGTGATTTTCCAATTCGAAAAATGAAATTCATTAATATCTAGAATTTGATTTTATTAAGAGGCATGCGTTTTGTATTTGCCTATCTGTATTCTGGTAAACTAACACAGAAACAGATAATAACTACTCACTTGTCTTACAAAGAACTTCGACTAAAGACCGCGTGATGGCGATGCAGAATGTAAGAAAAGTGTGCAAATGTCACCCCTTCATTTTTATTTTACGCGCGCTATACTTTATATAAAGCACGTGTTTATTCCAACGACTGGTGTAGCGAGAAATCAGGGACCCAAGTGAATGGCGATCTACGCTCGGCAGTGATGAAGCCAGAAAAAACATTTAGTGGAAATCCAAAGTGCCTATGACGTGCAAACCAATTGTCAAACCAGTTCTAGTCGCTGATTCCCTTCGAAGGTCCCCCTCAGGATAGTTGGCAATCGATCGTCGCAATTCCATCCGGTAAAGCGAACGATTGAAGGCCTCAACCTATTCCCGAACTCTGAACGTATCGCATGCGAATTCAGAGCTGTTGGTGGGCGCTAAAATGAATGCGAGTGACAAGTCGGCTGCTGTTGGTAAGCAGAACGGACACAGTCGGATGAATCAAACGTCCGGCTATAGTGCATAACGCGTCGCCCATGACATCTCCGAAAGTGTTTCGGGTGATTTAGACAGCAGAACGTTGGCTACAGAAGTCAGGATTCGTATAAGTCTGTGTAACAACTCACCTGCTAAATCGTCCGGTTCCGAAAATGGATGGAGCTTGAACGACAGGCCGATGCCGAAGTAACACCAGTCAACTCTGCACGCGTTTAACCGATGCCACGATGAGGTGACCCTGTGTGCACGGAAGCCTTCGGCGATTGAGGTCTCTTCTATGCCTAACGAACCGCATGTCGCACTGAACACCACACATAATGTATATAGAATATAATACCACTATCATAAATCTAGGAAACTAATGAAAAATATCTGCTTAAATAGAAGTCTCTTGGAATCTTTCATACAATTTTAGCACACCCGTATGTACATACGCATCTTCATTCACTCCTTTTTGTATTCCAACTATTTATTTAGCTAAGGCAATAAAATACGTTGTTAAGTGTACATAATTATTTTGCATATTCATTATGTCCCTCTTGCTTAATAAACTCAAATAGGTCCACCTTACATTACAACAGGAAAGGAATCTTGAGGATCATGATTTTCCCAGAACGAAGGTATGAATGATTAAACCAAAATGTACTTTAATTAGCTGCTTATATATACGATAGTGTACTTGAATACCAAGTCGACCACTGTATATTATATATACGCATAGTATAGTAGATAAAACTAGTGAGGTGAGAATGTGGTCGTATACTCCACAGGTTAGTCAACAAAGTTAAAAATAATAGCTGCTTGTTGACGTGTACGATTGTCTGCTCGAGTCGCTTACCAATCACTGATGTTCAGGCATATTTATGTCTTGACAAAAACCACAGAGCCAGCCTGTTGTTGATACTGCAATTGTACTGATTGAACCTTACAGTTTCTGCGAGAGAATTCACAATCTGGCGTGATCAGTTGTTGAACAAAGCCAGTAGGCTAACGATGACTCGTAACATCGTGTTAAAACAACTATTGAATTAACAGGGATTTTTCAACATCTGGTTTTACTGGGATCTCCTTTCCAGTTATTATCATCACTTCCAGGATTATCCATAATGATATTCTTGGTCAGAATGCTAAGATAATATCCACTCAGCAATAGGCCTACGAAGCACGATCGATATTAGCTTCTACCTCGAATGTGATCGGATTTGGAAAGAACCAAATTAAGACTTTACATTGTCTCTGTACTGAGAAACATGCATTTCATGTGCGAAAATCAACACATATCTCAGATGATAAGTGTGATTTTGTATTAGAGCCAGTGAACAGTTGGTTAACTATATATCCGTTATTTATAATCTGAAAATGGATTATCTCATTAGTATCCACTTCCTTCCTTCCTTCATTCCTTCCTTCCTTCCTTTCACTTGATTTCCTTCCTTCCTTCATTCATTCATTCTTTCGTCGCTTCCTTCTTTCTCTCTTTCCATTTTTCCGATATTCTTACTTTTCTTCTTTCCTTCTTGCTTCGCTTCCCTCTTTCTTCCCTTCCTTCCTTTTTACCTTCCTTTCCTTCATTCATTCCTTCTTTCTTCGTTCCTTCTTTCTTTCCTTCCTTACTTGCTGCTTCACTTCCTTCTTTCTCCCTTTCCTTCCTTCCTTCCTTCCTTCCTTCCTTCCTTCCTTCCTGCATTCTTTCCTTCCCGCATTCTTTCCTTCCTTCATTCTTCTCTTCATTCCTTCTTTTTTCCTTCATTCCTTCCTTCCTTCCTCTCTTCGATCCTTCCTTTTTCTCTTCTTTCTTTCTTTTTTCTTTCTTTTTTTTTCTTTCTTTCTTTCTTTCTTTGTTTCTTCCTTTTCACTTCATTTCCCTCATTTCTTTCTTATTCCTTCTTTCTTCCTTCCTTCCTTCCTTCCTTCATTTCTTCCTTACTGTTTCACTTCTTTCTTCCCTTCCTTCCTTCCTTCCTTTCCTTCCTTCCTTCCTTCCTTCCTTCCTTCCTTCCTTCCCGCATTCTTTCCTTCCTTCATTCTTCTCTTCATTCCTTCTTTTTTCCTTCCTTCCTTCCTTCCCTCCTTCCTCTCTTCGATCCTTCCTTTTCTCTTTTCTTTCTTTTTTTTTTCTTTTTTTTTTTCTTTCTTTTCTTTCTTTTCCTTCTTTCTTTCTTTCTTTCCTTCCTTTCTTCCTTCCTTCTTTCCTTCCTTCTTTCTTCCTTCCTTCCTTTTCCTTCATTTCTTCCTTACTTTTCTTTCTTTCTTTCCTTCCTTCCTTCCTTCCTTCCTTCCTTCCTTCCTTCACGCATTCCTTCTTTCTTTCTTCCCTTCCTTCCTTCCTTCCTTCCTTCTTTCCTTCCTTGCTTCTTTATTTCTTTCTTTCTTTCTTCCCTTCCTTCCTTATTCTCTTCCATCTTTTCTTCCTTTTTATCTTCCTTTCCCTCATTCCTTTCTTCCTTCTTTCCTTCATTCCTTCTTTACTACGTCACTTCTTTCTTTCTTTCAGTTTTCCCTTTTTTCCCTTATTTCTTTCTTATTCCTTCCTTGCTGCTTCACTTCCTTCTTTCTTCCATTCCTTTCTTTCTTTCTTTCTTTCTTTCTTTCTTTCTTCTTCCTTTCCTTCCATTTCTTCCTTCCCGCATTCCTTCCTTCATTCTTCCCTTCCTTCCTTCCTTCCTTCGATGGAATCTGGGATGCGTGCTTGGTCGATCATGTCTTTTTCGATTCACAAATTGATTTGGCGAAAGAATTCCTACAGTAGGCTGCCGTTACTTTTCGCCATAGACTGGTTGCCTATCAGTCTTTCCTGCTATTAACCCATAATTGGTGGAGATAAACAGGATTCATACTTTTCTCAAGGGTATTTGGTATGTAAGTGAATATAACGGCTGGAATTCGAACTCGGTTCTCCAGTGTCACATTCCGAGATGTTAGCCATTACAAACCCTGCGCATTCAAGCATAAAGCACGTGGCATTCTCAAGCGGTCGACTCTCGAGATAATGACCACGCTAGACTTTATCTAACGGCCGTGAAACAGTGTCTCAATATCATATGGCCGTAATAGTCTCAACACGGTGGAAAATGACACACTCTTCAACAGTGTTCAGATGACATTACAACTGCAACAAACACGTTTGTAACTTAAAATGAGGCGTTGTTTTAAGGTCCTAATGAATGTGTGGATCTGCTACGGTTGACTTCACAAAGAACATTTTATCCTTGGTATTTGCATGTAACTCTTGATTGTTTTAACGTGTAAGAAGAGTAGCGGAAAGAAATGGCTGACATTAAACCTAGGCTAGAAATGATAGTGCATTATACGTAATTTGTAACTTTTTAAAAGCCCGCAACATCAAGTCTCTACTCTAAAATGCTTCAGTTCAAAAATTAGATGAAGGATAAGGAAGAAAATATTTAAATACGAGTATAAGAACATATTTCATTTTAGAATGAATAAATTTAAAAAGGAAAAACTCAATGTTGAAAGTTTTTGCTATAAAATTGATACTTAGAAAATGAGCTTCGCTTCAATGTCAATTAGAATTTAATGCAATCAACAATTGTGAAGTCAATGTCAGTCCGGTAATACCATTAATCTCTATGGCTTCAGAAGCCCGAAGACCAGCATCGATGTGTTAGGTATATATATATATATATATATATATATATATATATATATATATATATATATATATATATATATATATATATATATGTATATATATGTACTAACAGTAGAGCCCGGCGTTGCCCAGGGATGTAACAGTAAGAGATAGATCAAGTATTGACCATCATAAAGACTGAAAAATAAAATTGACAAAGATTATTATTTAAGGTTGACAGACACGCATCTTAATTAGTTTTTTTTTTTTTAGGAATTCGTCAAACTCAAACAAAAACATTGTTTTCTATTGTTATGAGTCTACCGATTGAATAGAATTTTATTATAAACAATTGTCTTGTAAATGGAATTTTTAAAGCATTCTGAATGTAAAAATAAAGAAAAAAGTGTGCAAGAAACACTACCTGCCAAAAAAAAGTGAAGTTTTGTTGAAATCGGTTGAAAAATGTAGGAAATCCGATCCCATATATAAACGAACACACACAAACAACCTGGGTTTTTGTAACTCGATATGAGTTGTCCCCCTTTCATTCTGGCAACAGAATTGTTTTCAAATTGATTTCATGCAAAAACAATTGTTTTTCCAATTTTTGGCACTGTCAGAACAACTGCAAGGTAATTTTACATAGTCCTGTGAAGTTTTGTTGATATCGGTTGAAAAATGTAGGAAATCTGATCCAATATATAAACGTACAGACACACACACACACACACACACACACACACACACACATCTGCATTTTATAATAAGTAAGATATATATATAAAACCCAGATTACAAAAAGCAGGAAATGGAGCAGATAAGGTTGAATAATTATGAAAGTAGCTGTTTGACCGCTTTGTCGTGTTAATCAGGAACCGTATATTAAAATATGTGTTGTCAATATCGTAGACAAAAGTTGTTAGCTCCATCTTAGCATAAAGAGATATAAACAGATAGAAAGATATCTATCTATCTATCTATTGGATATAAGCTGAGTTCTATTCTACAACAGCTTGTTAACAATTACAGTACATTCAAATTTACAAATGTTTACTCAGATTACGACAATAGTATTAGGACACCCAGTGAGACTCAAAATCGAAATAATCTGAAAGGTAAGTTTGCTACAAATAATCCAGATGGAGATATTAAATGTTTATTGAACTTAAATTCTTTTTCTATTTTTCTTTCCATCTCAGGACGAAATGATCATAACATTCCACAATTTTCTGTTCTTTGTCGCTCTTAGTAAATTTTGTTTTTGTTATCTCTCCTAAACTCTTTTTTACTATCCATTTACACAAACTCGTTAGGCAGTCTTGGTACTGTTTCCTCAGTCTTTCTTATAGGTTCTGTGAGTGCCAAATTTTCCAAGAGCACTCTTAGTTCTGTCTGGCCTAAAATGTTGATAAGTTTAAGTGTTCTTTTCTTTCCATTTTCTCTAATACTTCCCCGTTATATTCACATTTAAATTCTCTACAAACACCAGCAGTTTAAAAATACACAGTGAGGATCAACCTCACTCACCTAGAGGTATAATCTGCAAAACTAACCTGCAAACCATACCGAGAGTTGCTGAAGTGCTTCCTGTCAGAATTTCAGCCCAGGTAATTCGTTTGCAATTTTGGAATTATAATATTTTTGCGCATCCATAAAAAATGTCAGGGATTTTAGTGTAGGTATGTATCCTCTTCATCTCCCTCCAGCTATGGGTAAAATAGCAGGACAGACTGGGTTCTATAGCCTTGGATGGCAACTGGTCTTGGAGAAGGACAACTCTGAATTCAAAACCTGCGGAGGGTCGTTTGGGAACCTTGTGGCATGCATTCGGTGCACCAGGTTTCTGTATTCGTCCCTCCAAAAAGTGTGGCTGGTCCTGCACGACGCCTGCACCATTATAATCAAATCTTATGTGCCGGTGTCGGGATGTCGGTTTCCTGGGGACTTATCGGCCTGACCCTCATACGTCGAACGTGACGGGAGAGTCGATTATATATATATGTACTAGAGGCATGTAATTGGTGTCTAGTTACTGGTTATCGAATGTGAAAAGGAATTTTAATTATTTGCCCTCACTTCGCATTGAAATCCCACTTTATCTTGACTTTCATTCTGGCCTGAAGAATACAAAACCGACATACGCCGGAGAAACGCGTCGTTTATAAGTTTTCCGCTATATTTCATGATTTCCACTTTTTTCGGATACTATTATACAACCGACAAACACTCTCCCTGTCTCTCTTACACACGGGCAAACATATATATATATATATATATATATATATATATATATATATATATATATATATATATATGGGGGTAAATGAAAAAGGGAAAAGTTTTCTTGTAACGCGTTTCTTTTTAGCATCTCATCGGATTAAATTAAGAAAACATTTTACAATTTTCATATATATTTACCCTTGAGAGTATCGTTCTTGATATATATATATATATATATATATATATATATCAAAACAAGCAAATATATATATATATATATATATATATATATATACTTAAAACAAGCATATATAAATGTATATATATATATATATATATATATATATATATATATATATATATATATTGTAATGAGTTTTAAAACTGAGCCAAATTTCTGACTATCAGTGGTTTGCCTGTAGATAGGCATTTAAGAATAACGATATATATATATATATATATATATATATATATATATATATAAAGAGATAACGATATATATATATAAAATATATATATATATATATACATATATAAAGAGATAATGATATATATATATATATATATATATATATATATATATATATATATATATATATATATATATAAATATACGTAAGTTGTCACTATCTCTCTATATTCGTTTTCACCCAAATTCATTTTAATTAGATTGAAACATGATGTTTTAATTTTTATCTCATCATTTTCTTGAGAGGTCAGAAGACTTTCTAGATCAATCGACGTAGCAATTTTGCATTAGAAAAATAAACTTTAACAACATCGTTGGTCGTCATTTGGTTAATCAACGTACTGTCAGTGTCATTTTGAAATCAGATAATATGCGATGATTGCACCATTACACTGTTCCATCATTCTTTTCTCTGAAATTATCAAATTTCAAAGATCCAATCTAATTTAATTTTTGTCTTTTCTTATCTTTTTTTTTTACCTCTTGAAAGCATTTTCTATAATTCTTCTATTCGTTAAAACATTTCTTTCGAATGAGAATTATTTTTTTGTTCGGCTTTTGTTGTCCCTTTCGGCTTAATTAACGTCATTTGTGTTTTCTTTCTTTCTTTTTATTATTATTAATATGATTATTCTGACCTAATGTTTTTAAATGCCGTATGATTTTTTTTTGTTACATTTCATAAAAGATATAAGCTTTTGTGTTCCGCTGTCCGATTCATCTAGAATCATTGATATTAATTTAGACAAATTTCTCGAACAAATGTTACCAAAAGAAAATTGAAGTTAGTGGTTTGTGCAGAGAGAAGTCATTGAAAAATAATACCTCTTAATTGAATGATGGATTAAATAGTTTCTTTTCTTTTATTTCTTTTATAGACCAATCAATATCGAACATTATTATTGATTGATTGATTGAGATACAAGCACGCCATCAAAGTGGTGCAGGGTAAATGTAACAAGCCCAATATACCATCATGACTATGATTGATAGCTGTTGTCTAACGGACATATCAGTCATAGCCAAATGTGCTCGATTTGGTGGCAGGTTTTGAACCAAACCCCACTCAGTCTTGCAGGTGGGACATAAGTAATAACTTTAGTTTCGAGTAACCCAATCTCCTTAGGCAGTGTCCGATTTAGGAATCTCGCAAGTACCTCAGCATATCTCCCCAATCACCTCGCCTGCCTCACCATTCAAAAATAAAACAACCGTCTCTTGGTTTTGCCCGACTATTTACGCTCATAAACACTGAGGCACAGTGCGTCAAACATTATAGGTCCTGCTGAAATACTTAAATTTTAGCGGTTCTCTGGTAATGAACGGGATATTTATTGCAGTCCATCTTATTTGACGATGCCGTTTTATCAGCAGGGCATTTATTATTATTATTATTATTATTATTATTTGTATCCTGTAGAGCCAGGTCCAAACTATGTTCCTTAGGCCCTATAGGAGAATTGCCATTTAATTTATAGCACTTTTCTTGGTATATGTGATATTCCGAGTGGGGCGATTTTCTGGGCAATTTCTATGTTGATGTTACATGAGACACTGTTATTAAAATTCCCCATTCCTTTTCTCTCAAGGCCCAGTGCTCCGATTACTATTGGTACAGTCTCAATCTTCATTCCCCACATCCTTCTAATCTCGATCTCTATGTCCTTGCATTTGGACAATTTCTCGATAATTTTCATGGAGGTGTTTCTCTCCTATGGTACTGTGATGTCAGTAAGCATACACTTCCTGAATTTCTTTTCATTTTATGATAATATCAGGTCTGCTCGCGTTTATTTCCTTGTCAGTTTGAATTGGCATGTCCCAAAGAATAGTTACATCTTTATTTTGGTTATGTGCTTCTGTTTCTCTCACTGGTTTCGATTTTGTGCCTCTTCCATATCTTTCAGTGCACATATGTCACTAACTTGTTAAGTTTGTTCATTTTTTGCTAGTTCCGGACATTCTGAGATAACATGGTCGTCTGTTTCATATTTTCCGCATATCCTGTATTACGGGTTAGTTCCATTCTCGACTATATGACAGTGATAGGATCTTGTTGCGAGGCTTTGGTGCTGAGCTGCAATAATTGCACCCTCTGCCTCAGTGTTCCACCCGGTGCTACTCGGCCACTGATGTGTTTTCTGTTGGTCCACACCTGCTTCTTTCGTTCTTTTTAGGTATTTAACAAGAAACGCCTTGTCCTCTCAGGTTTTTTTTAATTTCATTTGGCCAAGTTATTTCTCTTTCCGTGTTACTCGTTTGGCATCGATGGTATTCGTTTCGTTCTTTGTTGGTAGAGTTTCTGGTATATTAAGCTGTTTCTTGAAGAGTGCAGCTTCTTTCTTGATGGAGTAGATTGGTGTTTTATTATTTGTTGGAGAGTGTCATTGTTTTTTTTTGTGAGGTATGGTTCCAATCCTATTATTGTAGTTTTAGAGTTCAAGTTGAATTAAACATCGGCGTCCTAAATCTCTTTGGACATACAGCCTATCAACCTCTGATTTCATGTAGTGCATCCTCATTTGGGTAAGCATTTTTCTCCTCTTGGCGTCCAATCATTTAATGTCATTCAACATCCATTTAATAATGTTGAAGCTGTATGTTACTAAGGGGGGGCATCTACGGTGTTGATAGCCTTCATTTTCACTTTCTAGTATTATACGCATTCTCCTATAGTATTCATTTCGGATCTTTTTCTTCATAATTGAATGTTGTATTCTGTCTCTTTCATAAATTCCTAAGTATTTGTATGTCCCATCTTTGTCTAGTTCCTTATTATTATTATTATTATTATTATTGACTATTAATTAGATCAATGTTTTTATTCCATCCTCAGTCAGATATTAAAACTATGGCATCAAGTATAAAGCACGGTTAGAGAATTAAGTGTGGGCCATCGGCGAGTCTCGAACACTTGCGTCGATAATGTCTGGCTGATTATACCGGATTCCCGAATATATGGAACTACGAAAACCTAAAGACTTGCAGAAGATTTAACCAAAGATATTAAACTTCTTAATTCTACCATTTGCTAGGCGTCATATATAAAGATGAAGCATTACACAAGACCCTACATATCTATCTATCTATCTATCTATCTATCTATCTATCTATCTATCTATCTATCTATCTCATCGTCGACCAGATTAGACTATTTCCTCCCAAAGTAACAAATAACGATATTGGAAACTCAGACAAAGCAATAATATTAACATCTACAAAATTCAAATACAAGCCAACGGAAAGCAAAATGAATTTTCACTTAGAAATACCATAAAGAAATACTTTACCCTAGTCTATGCGGACAAGAAACTTGACTTAATTATCTACTGGAAAAAATAAAACAGCTAATATTATCATGAAATATAATAACGCACCTGCAAATCAAAACTACAAAGAAACAACATTATTTACAAGCTCAGGTGCCCCCAATGTGCTGCATTCCTGATCACATCAAACACATAAATAATTACATCAGTCACACTGCTACAAGCTTATCAAGACGACTTACGTTACACCTAACAGATCGTAGTTCTACTAGGACTAATCTAAACACACATGAAACCTACCAGACACCATTCGAAAACATGCTAGTAGAACAAGCAAGCATAATAATTTAATCGACATGCAAAAAAGTATATAAAAAAAAAATGATAAGCCCTAATAATAAAAAAGCCAATACTCAATAACATTAGCTATGAACACAGCCACAATTTGCTGACCGTGTTTGGAAAATAAGACATCCTATAACTCTAAATACATACATAACACAACCTTTTAAACAGTTTTTACACATTTTGTGTCCAGAAAAGAAAAACTTGTACCAATATAAGAAAGATTAAATAAAAAGTTTAATCGCAGTACCTTGTTATTCGTCTTTAGCGAAACATGTATAAAAATGGGACTGCTGCCTAGATACACAATTATATATACATAAGTGTATATTTGAACAGTAACAGTTTTTCTTGTTCGTGTATTGAATACGTGTTTCTTGATGTCGTAGATGCAAAGGATCTGTCCACATTTCCTGTCAGTTCTTGCTATGTTTCTGAGCGTTCAACTGGCTTCGAACATTATCAAAAAAAGAAATGAAATTAGAATTGAGTGTCTGTTTTGTAGTATACAGTGGATTTATTTGAGTAAACAGTTTATATTGTATGTCTGTGTGAGTTGAAATAATACAAATAAATTGGAACGTAATCTCAGTGTACGGCAGATTAATCTTTTTTTTTCTGTCGAAGGAATTAAAAAGCCATCATGTCGGAATTCATAAAATGACCTGAATTTTAATTTCTTGTTTCTCTGAAGATAAATTCACATTATGCCACGTTCTCGCGACACCAGATTATAAATATTAGTTAAAATGAGATGTCAGTGTTATTTTTAACTTTGCGTAATTTAGACGACAATCTATTCATCGCACCCTGTACATTGATTTTTTTTTGTAGGGATTCATGACAGGTAATGCAGAAAAATGTAGAATGGAAACATGTTTACATTCTGGTGTTGGTCACCATACTGAAAAATGTATGAATCGAATTGATGTAAACGGTGCCTAGGGAAAAAAGATTTTATTGAATCAGTTCTGACTGATTGATCTTGTGAAGAATTTGTCAGTGCCTGCTTATCTCAAGGTTCGGTAAAATGTCGTATTAGGTGTCATGTACTGAATACAATATTACCGTAGGTCTTTGAATTTTAGCTTGTGTCATAAACCATAATGTCAGAAGATCTGATTAATAAGAATCTCGAATAAACCTATGATGTATATTTGCCAGTAGAACGTTTAAAAGCTTCTGTTTTTGGGGGTTTTAAATTTCGACGTAAACTTAGTGAATGTCAGATTAATATTTTTCCGGCGAGGAATTCAAATCCATCATGTCGGAATTTATAAAATGACTTGAATTTTAAATTCCTCTATCTCTGAAGATAAATTCACACTATGCCACGTTCTTGCGACATCGTGTCGAAAAATCAAATATCTAACACGTTTATCAAGTGACAGCACAAATCCACACAACGCAGCATCCAAAGCTGTAAACAGACTTTGAATTTTACCGTTTTCTTTTTTTAACTTTCTTTCGTGATACTTGATTAATGCGAGTCGAAAGCTTAAAATCTTCGCAAGAACTAACAGGGACACAGAAACGTTCCTTTACACCTCCAAACCCCAAGATATGATATCCGAAAAAAAAAAAAAACCCTGAAATATTTAAAAAAAATCAATTCATCCAAGCAAGGAAGAAAAGCCACTAAGACACTAGGTGTAACTAAGTGCGGAAGAATAAGAAAAAGAAACAACATTATTAAAGAGGGAAAACAATAAAAGAAAAAAAATCAATAGTATATTAGATACCAATTGACATTGAAATTAAATTTTAAAGTCTGGATAATGTAGAGTATGAACAAAGTTCCACGAGCAAAAGGTGAGATAAAAGAAAATGTTAGCATAGAACTTACTGGTGCATATTACCAATTCAACAGTAAATTGATGATAACTTGCTGCCAATGTAGAACTACGCTTAAATTCATAAAGTCTCGGTTCCACAGAGGAAGATTATCAGAACAAATACCATTAAATAATTTATAGAAAAGTCATAGCGAATCGACGTTACAGTGGCGGCAAAAAAAAACTGATGCTGAGATGCCACTTATATAGCAGAATCTCCACTGGATTTTATCAAGAATTTCTGAATATATAGCAGGAACATCACACCCTATGTGGCAGCAATATTAAAAAAAGTACATTCGAGATTAGTATTAATCAGGCCAGGTTAACAAGCCTTGTTCTGACATTGTGGATTATGACACAAGCTACAATACAAAGTTCCACACTTGACGGTAACATTTATATTCAGTACATCTGTTAACCAGTACATGACACCTAATGTGACATTTTAGCGAAGCTTGTGACAAGCAGGCACTGACAAATTATTCACAAGACCAATGAGTCGCAGCTGATTCAATAAAATCTTTCTTCATCCGCACTTCAATTCGGTTGATACATTTTTCCGTATGGAGACCAACACCAGAATGTAAACATGTTTCCAATGTAGACTTTTCTGCATTACCTGTCATGAATCCCTATAAAAATCAATATAAAGTGTGCGATGAATAAATTGTCGTCTAAATTACACAAAATTGAAAATAACGCTGACACCTTATTTTAGCAGATATATTTACCGAAAATACAAAATATATCTTAAAATATTAAAGAGTAAATTTTTTCAAAGGAACCGCTATTGGCTTCAGCCACGACCTCTAGACGTCTTCGGAATCTCCTGCGGTTTTTCTGGACGTGCTCCTTATTTAAGCTGGAGAATACTGCCACAATCCTTGCCTTCAGTTCATCTTTGGTATTACAAGGAGTTTTCTTGGTCTTTCGCTCAAATGCGTCCCACATTGGTAAGTTAGCTGGTCAGATGTAATTGGTGATGCAATCGTAGAAATTGTCTGGCAGCTATGACTTGGTTCTCCTGCTTGTGTGGCATAGCGCAGAGACCCGATGCCAGACATTGGGCCTTCCATCAGACACCCTCTTGGCGTTTACGGCGCGAATGCCAAACAATACAGCAGATCGATTCCAAATTTCTGGCAGAGTGTATTGCATCAAGGTTGTCTTTTTTCTCACAGACGGTGCCCAACTGACCGTATTATACTGTGCAAATTCCAAAATATAAATATATTTCAAACATATATATATATATATATATATATATATATATATATATATAATATATATATATATTTCATTAAAGACAACATATAAGGTACTTCGTTTAAGCTTTTTTTAAAAAATTTTCTTGTGTTCGAACAAGTGTTTGCTTTTTTTGGGACACAGAGTGTGTATAAACTGATCAAATATTCTATAATTCCGATCGCTTTCGGCTATACTTTTAGCCATTATCAAGGGTGATTTTATTGTTGTTTTTTAATTAAGTGTATGGGCTGTGTGTATGTTTTTAGAGTTATAGGAATGTTTTATTTCTCGAACGCAGTTAACACATTGTGGCCGTGTTCGTAGTTAATATGATTGCGTGTTGACATTTTCTTCTTTATTATTAAGGCTTCCATTATTTTTAATCTTTTTTTACATTGGGATAGGGTTATTATGTTTGTATTTTCTATTACTATGTTTCGGATGGAGTCTGGTAAGTTTCTCTGTGTGTTTAATATAGATAGGCATATAGTCATGTGACTGATGTAATTATTTATGAATTCGGTTTGATCCGGAACTTAGTTACTTAATGGGCATTTGAACTTATAAATAATGTTTGTTCTTTGTAGATTTGATTTTGCTGGTGTGTTCTTATTTTTAAGGATAAGGTAAACAGTTTTAAATTTTTTCTTTAGATAATTAATTTGAATTTTTTTGTTCGGTCAGTTGGGGTCAGTTCTTTATGATATTTCTAAACGAAGATTCATCTGGTTTGTAGTTGATGTGCATTTGGTTTTTGCAGAAAATATGCATGTAATTTTTGACTGTATGTTCACTATCGTTGTTATTTACTTTGGGAAGAAATAGTCTAATTTGGTGGTCAGGGAAGCATTTTTATTTAGTGTCTGTTTTACATTATTGAGTTCTTTAAGGAAGAGTAGTCGTGGGGATGATTCCTGGTGTGCTCTTTTAGGAAGTTTTTTTTTTTTTTATCACTGCTATTTGTATCTGGGCGGGCATTCACTTTTAATGTGGCAAGATTTTCTGCGAGTGGGTTTTATATAATGAGGTGATAAAACTATATTCTACGAGCACGTTTAAGAATGGGATCAGGAGTTGGTATGTAAAGTTAAGGACAGAGATTTTTCTAATTTATTCTTACTTGTTAAAATAAAAATATCGGCTAGGTAGCGGACATATATTTTAGATTTATAGACCTGTCTAAATGTATTTTCTACATGGGACATGTAATAATTGGAGAAGCATTTCCCATGCCATATGTTTGGGTCCAAATTTTGCCATTATGGTCAAAGAATGGAACTTTGGTTGTGCATGCATGTAGTAATGTTTTTAGTATAAATGGTTTGATGGATGGTGAATCATAGAATTATTATTAAGAATTTCTATTCGTAGTAGTACCTTGTCTGTCGTCTTTAATGAAACATGTATAAATGAAGGATTGCTGCCTAAATACACAA